CTGCTCCTTTCCTTATCGCGATGCCGGTCCCTATCTCTCTCTCTGTCCCTTTCCTTCGTATCATGCCTGTCTGAATGCTTTCTGTAAGAGTCTTCTCTCTCCCTCTCCTTCGACCTTCCCCTTTCCTTGCTCTCGCGATTCTTCCTATCCTTGCTCCCATGCTTTCGCGGTTTCTTGCCCAACGAGTCATCATCGTAACCACCTCTCTCGACCGTTTCCCTTCCGCTGCCATTCGATCCCAAGTCATCCATCGCCTCATCCATTTCTTCGACCAAAACTCAACCCAAACCCTGAAAACCCGGGAAAGGTAATACTAATAATTTATAGAGTTCTCAAACCGAGGAGAAGTTAACGTTCCAGAAGACAGCTTACTAGTGATCATAGAGTTCTCAAACCGAGGAGAAAATAAATTGAGACGTTTTTCTTCCTCTAAGATACCAAGACAGTTGAAAAGAAAAATGCGCGAAATTAGTAACGCTCATAGAGGAAAATAAGTAAAGGGCAAGATAATTCATTGAATACTCATAGTGAAACAAGAACAGTAGATGAATAGAGAACTTCATCAACATATCACGAACCAGATGTATATTCACGAGACACACGATGATGAACGATGACTTACGATGACGAACAACGACGAACGATGACGAACGAGAATGACTGGACGGGGATGACGACTGGACGAGGATGACGACTGGAGTGGACGAGGATCTGACGGCGAAGATGAACTTGGGATCTGACGCTAGACGAGGATCTGACGGCGAAGATGAACTTGGGATCTGACGGCGCCTGGACGAGGATGATGACGCCTAGCCGAACGGCGAACGGCGCAGGATCTGACGAATTTGACGGCGCCTGGACGAGGATGACAGCGCCTGGATGAGGATGACGATGCCTAGACGAAGACGACGAAGACGAGGATCTGACGAATTTGACGAATTCGACGAGGATCTGATGAGGGAGGCTGGAAAATTTAATTTGGGGCTGGAGGCGGAATGGAATGGGTGGGGCTGGAGACTCGCTAAGGTAGGGTTACAAACTTACAACTTACAAACGGGTTTGGGTTAGCGGTTACGAGTTGTACACTTGTAATTGTAACTTTGCGATCCAAATCATTATTACATTTGCGGATATCCGTATCCGCAACTTTCATATCCGTTTTCAAATCCGTATCCGGAAAAAAATCCGAAACCATATCCGTATCCGTTACCGTATCCGCCCGGTTTTAAAATTTACTTATCATATCCGCATCCGTTCGGATACGGATGCGGATCGGTTCGGATATATCCGAACCGTTTGGCACCCCTACTAATAAACCATGACAGTCGAAGATGGCAATAAAAAACTTCACAGGAAACCTCAAATTAGGTTAATATGACCCGATTGAATCGAATTTAGCAAAGTTAGGGTTACGCGTAGTGATGATCTGAGATTGAGTTAGGGTTTAGGGTTTCGGATGGGAAACTTCAGCGTTAAGGAAGGAAGGACTTGCACCTGATGACGACGGGGGAAGATTGAGATCAGGGTCACGGATTTGGCGCCTTGATCGACAGGGGAGGATCTACATACAGTCCAGGGGGGCCACGGTCCCCCCAAAATTTGGGGGAAAAAATTAGGGTGCTCTATTCCTCAAGCCCCCTCAAAATTTTGGGGAGGGGGTGCTCTATTTAATTTGGAGAAAAAAAATTAGTTTATGAATATTAATTATTTGAGGGTTTTTATGTATATATTAATAGTAAATATATTACCATGAGTAGCAACAAGATTAATAAAGGGGGTTTCATTGAAATTAAAAATTTATGGAGAGGTATTTAGCGAATAGGCAGAATGAGCTCGTGGTCATCAAGACATCACCATTGGGCATCATTATCGATTAGACTTTCTTTATGTCGCGATCGATTCACAAATGCAAGAAATTAATGTGTGTTTTAGTGAAGATGCGACAGAATTGCTCATGCTTAGTTCTGCCTTAAATCCTCAAAATGCATCTGAGGCTTTGAGAATACAAGATATATGCAAATTGGTTGGCAAGTTTTATGCACAAGATTTTACAAGTGAAGAAAAAGAGAGTTTGAAGATGCAACTGAAACATTATGAGCATAATGTAGTCAAACGGTCAGACTTCAAAACTCTTTCAACCATTTCTGAGTTAGGTCAATGGTTGGTAAAGACTAATAAATCTGCTACATACGACCTCATTTCTAGAGTGATCGTACTTGTGCTTACTCTTCCAGTTTCTACCGCTACTGCAGAACGATCATTCTCAGCTATGAATATCGTCAAGACTAGACTTCGAAGCAAAATGGAGGATGCTTTCCTCTCCGACGCATTAATGGTGTTTATTGAAAGAGAAATTGCTAAAAGTCTGAGCATTGATGCTATCATTGAAGGCTTTGAAAATTTTAAGGAACGTCGAATTCCTTTTAGTTAGAGAAATTTTAGTTATAAAAAAATAGATGATGCTTATTTGACTATTTTCTATATAATATTTATCTTCCTCTTTTGAAATATTTTGGAGATATTGATGTTGGCTATTCTACTCGTTTTATGTGGGTTGTGGTATATCTCTTGTGAATAAAATTATACTCGTTTTATGTGGGTTGTGGTATATCTCTTGTGAATAAAATTACATTAAGAAAATTTTTTATCTATCATTTGTACGCGGCCCCCCAGAACTAAAATCCTGGATCCGCCCCTGTTGATCGAGGAGGGAGATTGGGTGTTTTCCTTCAAGCCCTAGCTTGGCGCCTTGATCCAGGAGGGAGATTGGGTGTTTTCCTTCAAGCCCTAGCAAAACTCCGGAAGATTTTGCCGAGGGGAGGAGGAGAACGGGTGCCGCTCGCGATTTTTACACGGTCTCTGCTTATTGGGTCGGGTCCGGGTTTTGACTTTGGATGACCCACATAACACAGTCCTCAAAACTGAAAAAAGAAAAGGGCTTTCCTGCAAAACCGACCGTCTGGGAAAAAACAGACAGGTCATACAATTTGGAAACAAAGCGAGGACTTTTATGCAAAGCACGCCCGCGTTCATTCCTACCCCTCAGACCTGATACCGAATTAATTAAAATTTAGTTGGCAAATTGAGGAAGCAGCCAATCCCTTATAAAATCATATTCTTTTCTTTCGATTTCCTGCCTTCTCGAGTCCTTCCCTTCGACCCTCGAGGCGCTTGCACTAACGATAATCCAATTTCTAGGTTTTTCCGGCCTACTTTTCCCTTGATTTTGGAGGTAAACGTCGTGAATCCCGTTGCAATTGGAATCTGGGTAATCTCTATCCGTTATTGACGTAATTTGTCCATCTAGATTTCATGCCAATGTGGTATCTTTTTGTAGGAAAAAAAGTTAGAATTGTTTGATTTCTGTTAGAATTCAAGGCTGAGTAGTTTGGTCTTTGATCGAGCGCTATTAAAATAAACATCTACGTAGCTTTGTTTTTTTTTTCAGGTTTGTTAATTCATTTGATGTCTTCGAACGAGTTTTCTTTGATGGCGTGTTTAAGTTTTCTTGAAATTTTCACAATCTTTGAGTTGGGATTTGCACATGTCCGTCATTCCCGTCTTTTTTGACATTTGACCAGAATTTTCTCTAAAAAAAATTAGCGTCTTTAATTTTATGGGACAAAGTTAATACTTATTCAGGGTAGTCCTTACCATCATCATCAGCTTTTCTTGCATCTTTGCTTGTTAATGCTGTTACCTTCATCTGCTTCTAGGATAAGGACCCTAAAGCTCTCGACTAAATTGAGATAATTTTTGTATTGTTACGATAACTGCAAATTTGTGTTATGTACCTGACATGATAAGGGCAATCTAGGTACCTTGTTACATAGCGAAAGAAAGAACATGTACGCATGCAGTATACTTGTCAGTTTGTTTCTTGATCATTAAAATTTGGTGGCAAACGGTTGAATTATTTGTGTATGGGAGTTGTGTACCTGCGTTTGTAGCTGAAAACACACTACACCTTCTGTATTACTGGCAATAATCATCGCTAAACTTCTGCATCTAATAGCACGTTGATTTTTGGGTATTGGCGCATTGTAGGATGCAGAGCCAACTTGTGTGCGATGGATGTAGGAATGTCCTTCTGTATCCCAGGGGAGCCACCAATGTTTGTTGTGCAATATGCAGTATGATAACCCCAGTACCTCTTCCAGGTATTATTTATTTATTGCTCATCACTATCTACTCTTAACCTTATTTATTTATAAGAAAATATACCGTATTTGAGGAAGAAAGCATACCGTCTTGGAGACTAAGTTATTCTGAACATGTTTAACTACTTTTTATATGTAATTAACTGTATTTTTTTTTTTTTTTGGTCCAAGGAATGGAGATGGCACAGCTTATATGTGGAAATTGCAGAACATTGTTGATGCACACCCCTGGTGCAACTAGTGTGAGGTGTTCTTGTTGTAGTACAGTGAATCTTCCTAGATCAGGTACTCCTTTGATCCTTTTCATCCTTCTTAGAATTTTCTGCAGCACTGAATGTTATTTTATGAAATTGTGCCGTCTTCATAAGAATCTATATGATATTTTTCTTTTCCTCCTTCCTGGATTTTTTTAGAGCAGAGTATGTTTTTACCATATTTCTCAATTATTTCTCCATTCATTGAGATGTTTATGTTAAATCTTTTTGTTTTCAATTCAAAGAAATGGAGCGACATCATTCATCATTCTCAAGTTGTATCATTTGATTTACTTTGTGAGCTAAATTTCTGTTTGATACAATATTATGAAGTATACTCTCTTCTTATGATTTATTTTTTAATTTTGATTCTGGCATCATAGTTTTTTCTTGCACAACTTCACTTTGCTTATTTATCATTGCTAATAGGGAGAAGTGATCATGCACCTATATGTTGCATGCACGTGGACACATTACACATACACAGCTAGACATGGATGCACGGACATGCAGAATCTTGAAAACCTAAGGTTCAGTCAGGCCATTTCACATCCATTGTGCATGCATGCATGTGTGTATGTGTTTGTTATTTTTTTAATCCTTTTTTTTTTGGGGGGGGGGGGGG